GGGGGGGGGGGGGGGGGGGGGGGGGGGGGGGGCACGGGTTCAAGCGCTGTTTTTCTTCGCCCATTTGTTGTATTCTCCACCAAATATCTCGAAATCCGCATCGGCAGCAGCAAGCAGTTATTAATTTCCCTTGAGTAACGATGAACGGCCGTTTTTATCCTGATTTTTTTCGGGGGGGGGGGTCCGCAAGGTGTACACGGTAGGGCCGGACNTCCGCAAGGTGTACACGGTAGGTCCGGACTACGGGCACGCCGAGGCGAGAAAGTCGCCGACTTTGGACGGCAAGGTCAACAGAAACGCCGAAGGAAAAGAGATCAGGTGAGGGAGTTAGTGAGGCAGACAACGACAAACAACCGAACCCTTATCCTTTTCTTAACTTTGGACGGCCAGGCCAACATAAATGTCGGAGGAAAAGAGATCAGCATAGCAAACGGAGTGAGTGAGACAGGGTTTGACACACAACCGCCGTAAGTAGTGATGTGCTGTGTACGTGTACTGGAAGGGGGCTGGGACAGACAGGAAGGGGGCAGAGGCGAGAGAGCAACAGTGTGCGTGAGAGAGGGAGAGAGAGAGAAACAGACAGACAGCGAGACAGGCAGGCAGAAGAGAAGGGGCGGGGATGGAGATGTGGAAGGAGGAGGAAGTCCCAACAAGGTCGACAGCTTCTCCGAGTCGAATCGATTCGGTGGGGCTTCAGGCACATAATTCCCAGGGTGCATGCCGGAAGGGAGCCGCTTGCGGAGGAAGGGAGGACACTATCACGGCCCCGCACTTCCATGCCAGGGGAATCGCGGTGTTCCATGCACCCAGTTGTGAGGCGGCGAGGCGGGCGGGAAGGGCGGGAAGGGGGGACATTATCCCGCGCTGATGGGATAAACGTGTTGTTGATGTACATCATCCGATCGTTTCCGTTGTTTTTTTGTCTCAAAAAAGACATTTTTTTTCTTTTCTTGTCTCGGAAAAGACACAAGCAGTCATTTCTCTCGCTCTACCGGTTTTGTTTTGGTGGTATTTGTTTATTGCGATAACGTTTTTCGTGCTGTCGATCGATACGGTTGCTGCACGATGCAGATACCCGGTGATCCTGACCTCGGAGGAGAAGGAGTACGCCCGCAAGATCACCCTGGCGTTCCGTCAGTGCGTGTGCGGGTTCGATATCCTGCGGGTGCAGGGGAGAAGCTTTGTCTGCGACGTGAACGGCTGGAGTTTCGTCAAGAACAGCAGGAAGTGAGAGGAGAGAAAGAAGAATCAGCGCATAACATATGCTGCCGCTGCTGCTGGTATTGCTGTTGTTGTTGTTGTTCTTGCATTGACAGTTGCCTCGGGCCACTACTAATCAGTTGTTGTGATGCTTGTGGCGTTGTACTAAATATGACCAAACACATAGCGTTTTTTTTTTTATGTAAACCGGCACTGCCCTATGATCTGATCAGGGAAACAACGAAGAGGAATCGGTTCGAGAGACAAAAAAGTAACAACCGTACCGCGGCAGAGCTCGTCGTTTTCACTTATCCCTTTACGTACACATATTTTTGGACTTTTTGTTGAAGTTTTTTTTTTTTCTATCTTGACATGATTTTTTTTTATTCTCGACGTTTTTTCTACCTTATCATCAGGTACGTGGACGACTGCGCGATGCTCCTCCAAGAGTTCATCGATGCGGCGGTCAAGCCCGGCCAACGCACCAGACTATTCTCCACAGAGGCTCCCCTCATCAAGTACCAGGCCATAAACATGGCGCAGCACCCGCAGCAGCAGCAACAGCAGCAGCAGGATCAATGTCAGCAGCAGCAGCTGCAGCAGCAGCCGTTAATGCCTTCCGGTGGGGGGAGACACGTCGACAATCTCTCGCGGATAAAGTGAGCGAGTGCGGGGGGTGCACGAGGTTTCCTGAGGGGGGGGGGGGG